AATTTTTTTTCTATTTCGGACAAGTTTTTTTTGCACAATAAAAATAGTGGAAGCCCACCATACTTCCTTACAAATTTACAATAATGTTTAAATAATTAAAAACTACCTTTCATAATACACCATGCCTGTAATGTATGAAGTTTTTTTGGATACAACAGATGTGTTTTTTAGGCCTCACATAAGGATCCCAAGTTTTGTATAGCAGTTTTTGGCATATTCACATCTAGAATGTTTGTGTTAACCCATGCATAAAACAGAACTTTTCTGCCCCTTCCTTCCTCCTTTTGGCACAATATTTTATTTTTTTTTTGGGGGTTACATATTTTTTATAGGTACCTGCTTCCACTTCTGCTCAGATCTCCTAGGTGACCCGAGCATAGGTTCCCCCATTCCTTCCTCCCGCCGGCAGCTTCTTGCGACATGTCACAGGAACATTCACAAAGTTCAGTGCAGCTTGAACATGTGCATTGGTTAGCCAACAGTGAAGCCACAAAGAGTTGCAGCCAGCTTCCCTCACTAGAGATGTTGGCGCTAGGGACCCAAAGACCGGTAAAGAACTGACTCAGGTGAGAATGATAATGGGTCCTTGGACAGGTAAGTTTCCTTTTAATAAAAGTTAGCAGCTATATTTTTTGTTCATAGGGTGAAAATTCTCTTTAAACTCCCCAAAAGTAAATGGGCAATTGGCCTAATATCACTAGGTGACAAAAAAAAATGGGTGTATGGTGGCCAACAGACATTCCAAGGCATCCTGTCCTCTTACCATGCAGTTTTCTCCAACATGGTTAAGAGTCGTTTGGGCAATTCCATTTCTTCGGGGTCTCCACAATAGGGATAGAAAGGTAGGAGATGCTAGGTCACAGTTACCCAATCCTTACAAGCACCAGAATGGGTCTAGTCCAAGATTTGGATAAAAGAGGCATATTTGAAAGGGCTTTTTTTTTTTCTTTTTCCAAGGATCTCATATACGAGGGGTCTGTCTACTGACATATCTCTTAAGCTTAAAGAGGATCTTCAGGCCTATTAAAAAAAATTCAAATGCTGTAGCTGCTGACTTTTAGCAAACACATTTACCAGCCCAGAAGTCTAGCACTGTCTTAACTGGAACCAATCCTTTGCCAGGCTGCGGATCCCCAACGCCGCCATCTTGGATGTGGGAGCTGGCTGTGGCTTCCTGATGTCTCACAACCAGCTCCCCACTGCACATCCACGTGGATCTTTCAGACTGGTCCTACAACCTCCTGGAAAGTGTAAAGTAATTCAGGAGGCTAGAGGCAGAGGCAGCCCAAGCTGATGTCAATATAGCCAAGGCGATAATTGTTGAGTGGGTAACTGAGGTGCCTGCTCCCAGAAAAAAAATAATTGTTAGATTAAGGGGGGAGGAGGAGGATGAGTGAATTTACTTTTAAGTGAAGGTCTGCTTTGGAGACATCATTTTGGTCCTTTTGTGACAGTGCACATATGCCTAAGCTACAGCAACCTGCACCCAGTGGACCCAGCAATCTCCAAGTCTTAACCAGACTATAACCTATAACTGTCCTTGTAGAAAACATGCCAGGGTTTTAAAGACTCTGTTGATATAAGACTTGTAGTCCCTTTTCTAAAGCTTTGTTCTCGCTTGCAGGCCCTGCCCTGCAACCTTCCATTGCAACCATGTCCATCTGCCAGTGTCCAGGGGCATTTCTTGGGTTCCTTTTTCTATCCTAATGGATCCTTCTTGCCTGTGGTCCTATTTTCTTGTATAGACAGAGAATCCGTTGGCTTATATGTTGGCCTGCAGAGCTTCAGTGCTAGAAATGCCTCCCATGCATGCACCCAATCAAGCTGGACATTAGGGGAGGAAATAACACTTTTGCCCCAGAAAAAAGCAAAATCTCCTTCTTGGAAACTCTGTTTCTTCTGAACCTAAAAGAGATCCTTTTGTTTCTCCCAGACCTCCCAAGTCCAAGCATAAAACCCAGTTCCCCCAAAAGTCCTGTACCCACAGCTTCACAACTAAGTCCTCTCAATGAGGGGGAACCCCCACTTATCAAAGTGAGGGGACATTTGCTGGCATTTGCATCCATCTGGTCACAGGACCTTTGTATTTTTGGGTCCAGAACTTGTTATTCAGAGGCTGCAAGCTGGAATTTTGGTCTCTACATCCCTCACTGAATGTTGTCAAATTTGTAAACAACCCCCCAAAGACTGACAGAATTTCATGCTGCTTTTGATGCAGCTCCTCTCTCAAGGGGTAATAGCCATTGTCCTTGAAAAAGGAGATGTTTCACAGTTTCTATTCAAACCTTGTTCTTGCTGGAAAAAAATATTTTAAGCAACAGACAGCATGGATTCATGCAAGACTGAAGTTGTCAAACAAATCTGATTTCTTTTTATGAGGAGGTGAGCAAAACTTTGGACAGAGGGGTGGTGGTGAACGTGGTATACTTGGATTTTGCAAAAGCATTTGACACAGTTCCCCACACACAGCTAATGTGTAAGGTAAAGTCTACAGGCTTGGAAAAATCCATATGTAAATGGATAGAAAACTGGCTAAAAGATCGTATTCACATATTCAAAGAGTAGTGGTTAATGATTCATACTCTGAATGGTCTTGGGTTGTCAGTGGTGTACCACAAGGTTCAGTGTTGGGACCCTTACTTTTTTAATATATTTATAAATGATATAGGGTCTGGGATTAAAAAAAAACATTTCAGTCTTTGCAGCTGACACCAAGCTGTGCAGTGGAATAACGTCCTTACAGGATGTCTTCAACTTACAAGCTAACTTCAAAGCACTGTTTAATTGGACAGATGAAGTTTAATGTTGATCAATGTAAGGTTATGCACTTGAGGGCTAAGAATATGCATGCATCATACATGCTGGGGGGGTACAATTGGGGGAATCAATGGTCGAGAAGGGTCTGGGAGTTTTGGTAGATCACAAGCTTAATGGCATGCAATGCCAAGCTGCAGTTTGTAAAGCGAGCAAAATCCTCTCTTGTGTTAAAAGAGGTATAGATTCCAGGGAGAGAGATATCATTTTACCCCTGTACAAATCATTAGTAAAACCTTATCTGGAATATGCAGTTCAGTTTTAGGCAGGCACAGTCTCTTGACTATCTCATATGCCTGACCAGCAGGACAAAGTTAGCACCAGCAAGGTGGGATCTCAGGTTTGCCACTGGAATCAGAGAGGTCCTTCCTTTCAGTGATAGGATGGTATACATGAGAACTGTCCAATTGGGCAGGGGTGTAGACAAAAATACCCTCTCAGTAAAGGGGACTTGGTCATTGGAGAAAGATAGACTCCTGATCAATATTCTAGAACCTGGGGTACTTTATTATTCCTTAATTGCTGGACCTCTTATCTTCAAGGCCACCCAACTAAGATTCAGTTGAAAAGTACCACATCTGGGGGGAACTAGAGTCTAATGGCTCAAAAAGAAGCAGATCCTATTCTGCCTTTGGCAGACCTTCACCTTCTAGCCCTGTCCACTGTTCACTTCCCCAGCATGAAAACTTGGTGGGCAGACCACCTCAGTCGTCAACATCTAGACTCCAAAGAATGGTCTCCTCACTCTGAGGTGTTGGAAGACCGTTGATGCAGGTGGACGTGTAGGTCATTGACTTTCTGGCTTCCAGGATCAAAAACAGGCTGACCAGCTTGTTTCTGGATGCCTTTACAGTAAGTGCTCTGGTGCCTCTTCGGGATCAGTGTCAGAGATGCAGGTGTGACCAGAAGTGTGTGGACTGACACAGGGAAACGCAAGCTTCAGATATGTTATAAATAAGACGCTTTATTAAAGACTAACAATACAAACATAAACGCAGTGCACCAAACCCCAAGCTAACACAAATACATACAACAAGGTGAAACAAACCCAAACGTAAACTGATACAGATACCCAGGTTCATACACATGTAGAGCACAACGTAGTTAGGCAGGCCGGATCGATAACTATCTGGCAGGTAGGTACAGGAGGAGCAGGCGGAGAGAATGGTCAGGGTCACAAGCCAGGGATCAAAACAGGAGAAGTCAGCAGAGGTCAGGATCAGGCAGGGTCGGCAACAAGTCAGGCAGGAACAGGAACAGGAACGCAGGTTACAAGATACAGGGGCCCATGGAAAAAACACACACCAAGGCACAGACTGTAGGTCTGGCCATCCCTTAAATACACCTGCAATCAGCCCCAGGTGATGGCTAATTGCCTGAAGTGAACCTCTGGTTGTTGAGAGCACCCGCTGGCCAGCCCTGGTACTGCAGCCCACAAGGCAGGTGAATCCCACCACTATTGGCAAGTCCATTCCTGACAGTACCCCCCCCCCTCAAGGAGCGGCCTCAGGACGCTCCAAACAGTCCTAGCTGGGCAAAATGTTCCACCGCCCGGGTCCGGTGACTGGCAGGATATCAAAGACTATATATCAAAGGCACATCGGGCTGGGCACCGGACGGAGGCACTTCGAGCTGGACGCCGGACGGAGGCACTTCGGGCTGGGCGCCGGACGGAGGCACTTCGGGCTGGGCGCCGGACGGAGGCACTTCGGGCTGGGCGCCGGACGGAGGCACTTCGGGCTGGGCGCCGGACTGAGGCACTTCGGGCTGGGCGCCGGACGGAGGCACTTCGGGCTGGGCGCCGGACGGAGGCACGTTGGGCTGGACGCCGGGATCACCAGGTGGAACAGCGGCACCGGGCCACCAGGCAGGGCAGCGGGCACCGGGCCACCAGGCAGGACAGCGGGCACCGGGCCACCAGGTGGAGCAGCAGGCACCGGGCCACCAGGCAGAGCAGCAGCACCGGGCACCGGGCCCCCAGGCAGGAAGGCGGGCAGCGGGCCACCAGGCGGAGCAGCAGGCACCGGGCAACCAGGCAGGGTGGCAGGCACCAGGCCCCCAGGCGGAGCGGCAGGCACCGGGCCCCCAGGCGGAGCGGCGGGCACTGGGCCACCAGGCAGGGCGGCAGGCACCGGGCCACCAGGCAGGGCAGCAGGCACCGGGCCACGAGGCACAACAGCGGGCACCGGGTCATCAGACATTGGATCGTCTTGCTCGACCGCGGGCACCAGGTCATCTGGCTCAACAGCGGGCATCGGGTCACCAGGCACGACAGTGGGCATCGGGTCACCAGGCATCAGGTCATCTGGCTCGACAGCGGGCACCGAGTCATCTGGCAAGGCAGTGGGCACCGAGTCACCAGGCGTGACAGCTGGCTCTGAGTCAACTGGCACGACAGCGGGCATCAGGTCACCAGGTATGACAGCGGGCACTGGGTCATCAGGCATTGGATTGTCTCGCTCGACAGCGGGCATCGAGTCATCAGGCACGACAGCGGGCATCGGGTCACCAGGCATGACAGTGGGCACTGGGTCATCAGGCATTGGATCGTCTGGCAAGACTGCGGGCACCGAGTCATCTGGCAAGACCGCGGGCTCCGAGTCAACTGGCGGAACAGCGGGCACCGAGTCGTCTGGCAAGACTGCGGGCACCAAGTCATCTGGCGGAACAGTGGGCATCGAGTCATCTGGCGGAACAGCGGGCATCGAGTCACCTGGCAAGACTGCGGGCACCGAGTCGTCTGGCAAGACTGCGGGCACCGAGTCGTCTGGCAAGACTGCGGGCACCGAGTCAACTGGCGGAACAGCGGGCATCGAGTCGTCTAGCAAGACTGCGGGCACCGAGTCGTCTGGCAAGACTGCGGGCACCGAGGCGTCTGGCAAGACTGCGGGCACAGAGTCAACTGGCGGAACAGCGGGCACCGAGTCGTCTGGCAAGACTGCGGGCACCGAGTCGTCTGGCAAGACTGCGGGAACCGAATCGTCTGGCAAGACTGCGGGCACCGAGTCGTCTGGCAAGACTGCGGGCACCGAGTCAACTGGCGGAACAGCGGGCATCGAGTCGTTTGGCAAGACTGCGGGCACCGAGTCAACTGGCAGAACAGCGGGCATCGAGTCGTCTGGCAAGACTGCGGGCACCGAGTCAACTGGCGGAACAGCGGGCATCGAGTCGTCTGGCAAGACTGCGGGCATCGAGTCGTCTGGCAAGACTGCGTGCACCGAGTCGTCTGGCAAGACTGCGGGCACCGAGTCGTCTGGCAAGACTGCGGGCACCGAGTCGTCTGGAAAGACTGCGGGCACCAAGTCAACTGGCGGAACAGCGGGCATCGAGTCGTCTGGCAAGACTGCGGGCACCGAGTCGTCTGGCAAGACTGCAGGCACCGAGTCGTCTGGAAAGACTGCGGGCACCAAGTCAACTGGCGGAACAGCGGGCATCGAGTCACCTGGCAAGACTGCGGGCACCGAGTCATCTGGCAAGACTGCGGGCACCGAGTCGTCTGGCAAGACTGCAGGCACCGAGTCGTCTGGCAAGACTGCGGGCACCGAGTCAACTGGCGGAACAGCGGGCATCGAGTCGTCTGGCAAGACAGCGGGCACCGAGTCATCTGGCGGAACAGCGGGCATCGAGTCATCTGGCATAATAGGATCATCAGGCTGGATCAGTTCATCAGGCTGGGTAGAAACATCATGCTGGGTAGAGACATCAGGCTGAATGGAGACATCAGGCTGGGTAAAGACATCAGGCTGAATTGTGGGCGCCGAGGCACCAGGCTGCACCACGGAAGGCAGGTTCTCAGATGGGAGGCTGACCAGTTTGGATACTGGCAGGATGGTATTGGTTGGAAAGAACTTTCGCCTTTTCCTGGTTTTAGTTACCGGAGCACTGTAAGTAAGAGCAGGTTTGTAAACGGAAGGAGCAGCTGGAGACAGAGAAGAGGAGGATGGAACAGAGGAGGGAGCAGTTGCTACAGAGGACTTCTTTACAGGGTTGAAGAAAGGATAGGTGCAGCGAGTGGGAGCAGGGGACTGGTATGTGGTAGTTAGCAGAGTATACTGGGCCATCACTGGGGGCGCTGTCGGGGATGCAGGAAGAGTGCCTTGAGCAGAGGAATGATGTTGCAAGCCAACTGAGGCTGGGTGTAACAAATCTGTCCATGTCTGCAGTACTGGTTTAACAAAACCCAGCTTACACCTAGCCTGTCTGATCAAAGACTGCACTGCGTTTATGCAATCCATAAGCACATGTGATGGACATACTGCATAGTACTCATGGAAACAATCTAGATCATCCTCCAACAACCATACCAGTGATTCCACTTGATCCACACTAAATGGGGAAAAAAGTCATCCCTGCTTTCAGGGGTACAGGACCGAGCCAACTCAGCACAAACCTGGATCAATGGCTGCACCTCAGAAAACTCTGTGCCCTGATCAACTAGACAATGAGCGATCCTTATACACTCTAGCAGTTGATCCTGGGTATACTCCTTAAGAGTCTGATAAGCATAGTCTTTGTCATCAAACACTAGCAAAGATAAATACACCACCTCATCAAGATCCATCCTTCCCAGCAACAATAAGCCAAGATGGCCTCCCTGTGCAGCCACTTCTGGTCAGGTTTCTGGCCTTGGTGTAATGTCAGAGATGCAGGTGTGGCCAGAAGTGTGTGGACCGACACAGGGAAACGCAAGCTTCAGATATGGTATAAATAAGATGCTGTATTAAAGACTAACAATACAAACATAAACGCAGTGCACCAAACCCCAAGCTAACACAAATACATACAACAAGGTGAAACAAACCCAAACCTAAACTGATACAGATACCCAGGTACATACACATGTAGAGCACAACGTAGTTAGGCAGGCCGGGTCGATAACTATCGGGCAGGTAGGTACAGGAGGAGCAGGCGGAGAGAATGGTCAGGGTCACAAGCCAGGGATCAAAACAGGAGAAGCCAGCAGAGGTCAGGATCAGGCAGGGTCTGCAACAAGTCAGGCAGGAACAGGAACGCAGGTTACAAGATACAGGGGCCCATGGAAAAAAAACACACACCAAGGCACAGACTGCAGGTCTGGCCGTCCCTTAAATACACCTGCAATCAGCCCCAGGTGATGGCTAATTGCCTGAAGTGAACCTCTGGTTGTTGAGAGCACCCGCTGGCCAGCCCTGGTACTGCAGCCCACAAGGCAGGTGAGTCCCACCACTATTGGCAAGTCCATTCCTGACAATCAGTTTAACCTGATCTATGCCTTAGCTCCACTAAAACTCCTTCTTCACCAACTTTGGAGGATCAAGATGGAGAGAATTTGTGTGATTTTCGTTGCACCAAACTGGGCCAGGAGGATGTGGTATTTGGATGTGGTATTTGGACCTCGTCAGGCTCCTGGCAGATTCTCCATGGGCTCCTCTGGATCATCCACGTCTTCTGTCCCCAGAGCTGGTTTACGACTCTACTTCTCTGTTGCTGGCTTTAATAGCCTGGCTGTTGAAACCCCACTCCTGAGGGACAGGGGCCTTTTTGGTTTGATCATTCATACACTCTTGAATGCTAGGAAATTGACTTCTTTCAAAGTCAAAAAAGGGAGGCAAGCAAGTTCAATCTCAGTGGGACAAATCTTGCCTCACTCCTTGCTGAAGGTCATTGTACAGGGAATTGCTCACATTGCTCCTCCTGTGCATTGGTTTTACCACCCTTTTGAACCTATTGATTATGCAAAGAAAACAAGAGTTCATCTCTTTTACACAGCAATCACCCTTCTACTTACATAGCAATCATTGTTTTTCACAATTCCAGTGGTTAATGTCCCTCTTCAAAACCTTATGCAGCCAGATCAAGCTGTCTTATCATGCAAGAAAAGGAACAGCCATAAATCAATGCTCACTGCTTAGTAACAGCTGACACAATTTCCTTTGCATTACTGCAGGCATGTCCAAAGTCCGGCCCGCGGGCCATTTACGGCCCGAGGGTCGGTTTAATACGGCCCTCCATGTCAGTGTGTCAGTGTGTCTTATGGAGCGAATATGGAGCGGCCGGTCCGGTATTTCCACCGCGGCTGTGTCAGAATACCGGGCCGGCCGCTCAGCTCTGCAGCGGGACCTTACCTGTTCCTCTATCCAGCGGTGCGCTGTCTTCCCGGCTTCTGTAGTGTGGGCACTGGGCATGACAGCCGGGTGCCAAGTGCGCATGCGCAAGAAGCGGTGCTTTTTGTGAATGGTAAGGCGGTACCTGGGACACATGACAGATCCCAGAAGCCGCCGGACCAATCACAAAGCGCAAGTGCTTCTCGCTCATGCGCACTGGGCACCCGGCTGTCATGCCGAGCGCCATTACAGAAGCCGGGAAGACAGCGCGCGGCTGAATCGAGGAACAGGTAAGATCAAACAAAAACTCTGCGGAAGTAAGAGCGGGTACCTGTCAAATTCAGGTACCCGCTCCCCACCTCCCCAAAGGTCAGCAGTCATCTGTACTGTCCGCAGTCTCTGGTCATCCCTGTGCTGTCCGCAGTCTCTGGTCATCCCTGTGCTGTCCGCAGTCTCTGGTCATCTCCTGTGCTGTCCGCAGTCTCTGGTCATCTCCTGTACTGTCCGCAGTCTCTGGTCATCCCTGTGCTGTCCGCAGTCTCTGGTCATCCCTGTGCTGTCCGCAGTCTCTGGTCATCCCTGTGCTGTCCGCAGTCTCTGGTCATCCCTGTGCTGTCCGCAGTCTCTGGTCATCCCTGTGCTGTCCGCAGTCTCTGGTCATCTCCTGTACTGTGTCTGCAGTCCATTAGTTCAGAATTTTTTTTTTCCTGTTTTCTGCTTCTAAAATCTAGGTGCGTCTTATGGTCAGGTGCGTCTTATACAGCGAAAAAATACGGTAACTTGGCATAAAATAATTTATTTGCATTTAATTGTAATGGTTCAAAGAATGTTTGGAAAAATGTTCGGCCCTCCACCATGTTCACTTCATCCAATTTGGCCCTCTGAAAAAAGTTTGGACACCCCTGCATTACTGCATATACAGTAAACTCAGACTCTTATGTTTCTCTTCACTCAAAACAATACAATGTTTAACTTCTGCAACATATGTTTCAAACATGCATTTGACAAGTGCACCGTCTGTAAGTGGTGGAAACAAAGTTATCACTTACAGACTTTGCACTTGTGACATACACCAATGATATGACATAGTTTCAGAAGTTATATACTGTGTTATTTTGTGTGAACAGCAACAGAAGAGCCTGAGATGTATTTGTGTGTATCTAATAAAGCAAAAGAGATTGAGCCAGCTGTTCTTAAAGTGTTACTAAACCCAGGACCCTGCATTCACTATATCTGTTCTCCCACAGTACACACTACATGGAGGTGCAATTATTTTAGTAATTATTTTAGTAAATACAAAAAACTGCTAAAATACTTTTCCTCATCAGCAGTTAGAGCAGTCTTGTGACTTCTATCAGTGTAACACTATTTACTAGGAAAAGTGCATTTTGTTAGGTTTTGTTATGTTTAATTGTTCAGATTGCGATAAAAAAAATCATTGTTGCAAGACAAGATTCAAGGCAAGATATGCCAGACAATATTCACAAAAAAAAGCATTGTTTGTACTTGAAAAAAAGCAATACAGGTGTACCTCAGTTTACAAATTTAATTCGTTCTGCGGGACTTTTCGTATTGCGAAAATTCATAAACCGAACAGTGGTTTCCCTTAGGACTGCATTGAAAACAAATTAATTTGTTCCGGAGGTCATAAAAAAGTTAAAAAAAAAGTCTTTTATCTGTTAAAAACTCTTTATAACGTGCACTTTAAAGGCATAAATACTGTACAGGGACATGATTAAAAATTAATTTGTCAATGCAATGAAAACCAATTAATTCGTTCATATTGCGAAAAAAATTTGTAAACCGAGGCATTATTTTCAATAGATTTTTATTCGTAAACCGAAAATGACGTTAACCGAGGCGTTCATAAACCGAGGTATGCCTGTATATGTATTACATTTTTTACTTAAGTAATGACAAAGTTATCACAGAATAAACAAGCCCATAGTCAGCTGCATTTACTTAAATATATGGTAATCCTGCAGTGAAGGTCCCCTGTCCTGACATTCTATTAGAGAGTGACAGCGATGTGTTGCGGTCTGTTGTGCTCCTGTGTTATCAACCTGTCACATGGGCTTCCAAAGGAGACTATAAATGACTGTTCCAACACATAAGGGTGGCATGGCCCACAGTTGTCACCATCACTTAACTTACTCTGAGAAATACCAGCTACTGCGGAGTGCAGGTAAACAGGAATTGGCTGCTGTGGCTCAAAGATGCAACAAAAAAAAATGCAGATATTTTATTTATTAGGAATTGTTTATGACATAGCATTATGATCACCCACCATAGACTCCATTAGACCTCTGAAGGTATGCTGTGGCACCAAGCCATCAGTAGAAGATCATTTAAGTTCTGTAAGTTTCAAAGTGGGGTCTAAATGGATTGGACTTGTTTTCCAACACATCCCACAGATGGTCAATTGGATTGAGATCTGGAAAATTTGGAGAAAAATTTGGAGAACAAGTCAGCACCTTGAACTTGTGTTTCTCAAACCTTTCTTGAATTCATCAGAGCAGTCCACCTTCTTCCATTGCTCCGTGGTCCAATTCTG